GCGGTGGGTGGTGATGACTAGCTTCCTTCCCTCTAGTCTTACACTGCTAAATTAGGGACGGCTAGCGCAGATAGCCCTTGTGTAGCTTTGCGCGAAATTCCAAAAAAACAAAAACAAACAACTTGCGCTAGCTGTCCCTAATTTTGAAACGATAATTTAGAAGGAAGGCAGCTATTAAGATTATTGATTGGTTCATCAGAACCGATCGATCATCGATTATAATCGGTTAGCGATATTTTCTTTATTTTTCAATAAGTTGAAATTAAAATGTTGTATTTTAGTTGTATTTACTCGGAATTTTTTCACCCTTTATGTATTTACTGTCCAGGATAAATTCGTAGCAAAGAAACTTTAACAATTCATGGCTTAAACTTAGGGTAATAATATGTTATTAAAATAACGGAGTTTCATTTTATAGAGTATGGTTTTTCAAGCGACAAACTCATTCTAGTTTCGTGTTGTAAAATAAATTTCAAGAATTTTTTAAGGGCTTTAATTATTTAACAAAAGATAGACAACCTGGGTTTGTTTACGGTTAACTAATGGGAATACCTATCTTAATTATGTTTGAGTTACTTCATAAACATCCGATTTTCTTGCGACGAGGTTGAGAAACAAGGATATAACAAAAATATAAAAACAATTTATCCCCGAAAAATCGTATTTGAATAGGTTATAATTGATTATAGAAAGCCACAATCGAACGTTTGGTCGATTGACTTTGGTTATTCCGATTAGTCATAAGACCAACGCTAGAATCCGGGTTTCGATACCCGTGGTGGGCAGAGCACAGATAGCCCATTGTGTAGCTTTCTGCTTAATTACAAACAAACAAACACAAGACCACTATTGTTTAGTTCAAAGTATCTTAGTAATGGAATGTAAGTACATGTTGTTGATTATTCCGTCACCTATGATGCCAAAGAAGATCTTGGATTTTTTACTTTTTTAAAAAGAATGATTATGAAAAACATGCGTGCTATTTGATTATCAGTGCTTCTTGAATACATACTTTAATAGTAGAATTTAATGTATGCATGAGATAAAGTAAGATATTTACAAAACTAGTTCTTTTTGCTTTGTTTTCGTATTCTCGGTATTAATTTCCAATATCTGATCGTCTACTCACGTGTATTATTTTATTTAGAATGCTATATGATTAACACAAAAACAATTGAAAATTGCAATACAACCACGTGTAATATTAGC